ACAAGACAAGCAAACAAACAAAAACCTTTAGTGTACATTCCGCAAGCCGATGACAAAGAACTGTTTTTGGATTACTTACTTACTCTTTGGGATTATTCGTGGTCTCTTTCTCTGTAACAAAAATAAGAATCGAGTTAGTTGTGCTATGCCTGTTTCACGAATGTCTGCTTATACAAATACTTAAGGGCTACAAGCATATGCGTCTCACACGCACACACGCCTCTCTCGGATAAAGAGGTCTGAGGGTTAGGATGCATTCTGGAATCTTTCCGTCCACACCTACTATGTCTGGTCACTGTCTTTGAGGCTGACATTCCTCAAGTTGAGGGATGGGCAGGCAGAAGGCTGCAGGCTGTGTGCCAGCCAGGTCAGCTTACAGTGAGCTGTCAACCCGGTTTCTGACACCCCAGAGAGGCCATAAATAACCACAATGAAACTGCAGCAGGCCTCGGGGCCTCCCCCGCAAAGGCACTCCTCCTCCATCAATCTCCCCTAATGACTGCTTGGCATTCAGGCTTCCGATGTGACCCGACCCTGGCCCCAAGCATTCTTTGGGGCACAACCTCCCTTCCCAAGCACAGAATGAGTCAGCCTAGAGCACACTGCTTTGAGATATTGTCCGCCAACATACTTTTACAGATGCCAGAGAAGGGCAGGGAAACTCATGTCACTCAAAACGCTGCTCTTTTTAAGATGAGCTCTAGGAAGCAGAGCTACAGCCACCAACCCCGTGGTCCATCTGGTCATGGTGGCCCCTAAACCACAGAGGCTCCCACACAGCCACGCTTACCTCGGCCACACAACAGTTACTCTGTGCTTTGCCATGTGGGTGGGCAAAAGCCAGATGATACTGTAGCTCCACTATTTACGCTTCTTTTGTCCTGACCTCAAGTGGCAATTATCTTTTATTCTTACCTTTTGTGCTTAAGACTGATTCGCCTTAACTATCTAACCACCTAAAAAACATCCTCCTGAAATCACATACCAACCCCACTTCCTCTCTTTACCTCTCTCAGTCTTTCTCCTGAGCTCTCATGATTAAAATGACATAAGTAAAATGTTTACGATTCCACCCTACCACCTAATAAAACAAGTTGGTTGTCTCATCAACAGCCTAATCACGTATCCCTAGATAAGAAAAATAGGAAATGCTAAAATGATTGCTAAAACATGTACTCTTTGTCAGCGCACACACAGCGTAACATTAAGCTTCAGTGACCACCTAGTTAGTCCTGAGAGTAGAAGTGGAGAGGTGTGTCTTACAGAGTCAAACTCCTTCATTTAATATAGGAAACTGAGGCTCTTAAAGTCACAGGACAGGATGGAGAACCCAGGTCTCCTAAGGTAGAGTGCACTTGGAGACAAGAGTTACCAAAACCAGTTCTTCCTCAAGGGGATAGAGAGCAAATATAGTAAACTATAGGGGTCAAAATAGAATTTTCTTTCCACCTTCTAAATTCTTCTATATGAGCTAAGAATCAAGTTAACATGAGACAGATTAATAGGAGAACATGTCCAAAATTTACTACGAATATACATGTGGGGGTGTGATAAGAATATGAGACCAAAAGACTCACTGGGCAGTTGAGCCTCATGTGCCATTTTGCAGAAAGGAGAAGGGAGGTGGGGGTCTGGGAATTTAAAAGGAAAGCAGGTGATTTATAGGTCAGAAGAGAAAGAGCAAACGTGTGGTAAACAAATACTTGTAGGCCCACCCAGAAACAATGGGGCACAGAGGGGAAGTTCAGCAAACAGGCTTTGCTAGATTGCTCCCCATCTGCCACAGGTGGTTTATATTATGATGCTAAGGTGATGCTCCTTTCCTTTAAGCAGGTTTTTCTGCATGAATTCCTTTAGGCAGGTAAAGGGAGAAGGTCAAAGGTTCTTTCCGAGTCTTTTGTTTCTTAATAACAAGCTTAAAATCAATATCCCAAAAGGTATATTTTGGAATAGCAAAACTTTGATCTTCTCAAAAGCCACACCCTTAGTTCAGTGCTGGGCACAGAGTAGGGCCTTCCACTGTCAATGCCCACCAGATCCCCAAGGTCTCTTTTGCTGGTTTTGTGTGCCCATCCCAGCCCCTGGGTGCTTTCACTCATGACCTAGGCACCTGTAACTCTTTGGAGAGAGCTGTCTTGACGGGTATAAAGCCCAGCTCCTTGGCTGGAGTTGGCGCAAAGTCTAAGATATAATTTATACTCCAGAGCTTTCTCTGTGGCATTGGGCTGGGGCTGGTTCTCTGCCTGAAATCATATGCTGCTCCTCTTCCTGTCTCTGTCACTGTCCTGTGTCCTGTTTCCTCCCTCCTTTACCAGTTTCTCCAGAGAACACTTGTAAGAAATCACCTGCATCGGGACCCTCATCTCCAGGTTTGCTTCTGAGGAGCCTGACCCGAGATTCCAGGAAATGTTTGTGGGATGAATGAAGGGATCATACCAGTCTAAGAGAGGTGCAATCGAAAGGTAACAGGTAGCTAAGCTAGGGGAAAGCCATGAAGAAGGGTGACAGGAGGAGCTGCATTTAAGTGTCCTGAGGGCTGAAGCCAGGATTAATTATGTCTCCCTCCCAGTGCTTCCACTTAAAACAGCCCACGAACATGATTGCATCCACGGCACACATGAGTGTATCTGCAGGCACGTGGGTCGTTTCTGCATTCCAAAGGACACTCTGTGAGCCCAGAGCCATCTTGACTTAGCATCCTGGACTGGCTCACCTTCTGGATAACTGAGGACTTGCCCTGTTAATTAATAAAACATTTAATACTTACACCCCTTGCAGTTTATAGCTACCGCTGTAAACAGAGGGTGCTTGCAGCAGATAGCTTCATCCTGCCAATATTCCAGCAGCAGCTTCAATTCATAGTCACAGACAGGAGCCGCCCACCTCAAGCCTGGCTTTCCATGGTCGCTCTGCCCCTTGGCCTTTCCCAGGCCCACTTCCCAGAAATGTGGGGGAACGGAAGTGGGAGCTGGTGGATAAATGCTTCACCTCTTGTCCAGGGCAGCTCTAGAGATGTTCTGGATGCTTCTCAAGCGGTCCTTATGGAACTGAGCCCCGTTTCGCACAGCGGCGGCTTCCACAGTACATCCTTATGTTGTTTTCCCCCTTTTGTCTCATGGTCCTGCTTCCTGGGATTACCTCCCAATTAAACTGCAGCCAAGTCCTTGCCCCAGGTTCTGCTTTCATGGGCACGCAAATGAAGGCAGTATTTACATAATGTCCACTTCTTCCAAGCAGCTCGGGGGCATCATTATCTATCTCAGTTCATCATTGACTTCCAGCTCCGATTCAAATAACGTGTTGTCCTTAGAAGTTACCCTTCTGCCTTTCATTAAATGGCCCCAGCTGCTCTTCTCTTGAGTTTGTGTATCAATGGACTTATGTCTGACATAAAGTAAACAGACTCTGAGCAGAGGAATGGTCCCTATGACCAAACACATGAGCTTTCATCTAAGGCACTGGAAACTGATTTTGGTGTCTTGGGAGACGTTTTTATTTTTTCTGGCTTCGAGCTCTAATTTGGAGAATATAGAAGTTGGATAGTGAAATTTTTCATGAATGCTTCCTTATATTTCAATTTAAATATGGGATTTGTTTGTGGGCAAATGCAGTGAGTCTAACAATACTTATTGCAAAAGCCCTTAGTAGAATATGCCAATTTCATAGATCCAATTTTTAAGATTCCGGGAGGCATCACAAGTTTGCCAGCTTCACAGATGTCAAAACGATATCATACACCAAAGACACACGGCTGACACAGATTTCAGAACAAAAATAGACTCAGCCCAGAGACTGATTACAGATCCTCCCATTCAGCCTCCAAGTATAAGCCGGGGTCCCCTTTCCTCTCCTAAGAGTCGTACGTCCCCTCTAGCGCAGGAGTCTGTGTGCGCCCACACTGGCTCCAGGGTGACTCGGTGGGATGGATGTGTCATGTGAGAAGAGTTCTGTTCTGGGCTTGCCTCCCGTCCAGTAGCATTCTCGGTGTTGGGGGCACAGGGGGCAGCAGGCTTCTGGGTGCTACAGCTGATGGTGCAGCTGGTGAAGGTGAAAAAAGAGCCAAGCTTCAGTTACAGGTGCAAGAACGAACTATAGCAGGTGTATTGATCTTAACCCACCCTGAAGCCCTGGGAGGGGCGAGGGGGAGAATCAGAGGTCAGTGGAGCTATCTCCGAGTGTTTGCTGTGTTGCTGAGAACAGGGTGGGCGAAAGTACATAGAGATTTGTTGTAGGAAGTAAAGTGGAACAGAGAGAGGCCTTGGCTGTGGGACCTCCCCGGACACACAGTGAATGGGAGTTCCTTCTTGGAGGGGTTTGGCCCCACGTGGCGGTGGTGAGCTCCCTGCTGGGGATAGTCAGGAAGTCTAGGCAGAGGGAAGCATATGCCACTGTGGCCTGGGCTATCGATCCAAAGTCAGGAAGACCCCCAAAGATTGGTATTCTGGTCATGAGGACAGGTGATAGGAGGGCTAATGTTTGCAGGTCATGGTGGCTAAAAAGACATGAGGATCGATGGAGTGCCGTCATAGGGAGTTGGTTGCTGTGTATGGTTTGAGGGCTGGCATTTGCACAGAGGAGGCTGATGAGGATGTGGTAGGAGGCTGAGTGTGGTGGGCTGCAGAGAGGGGTGTGGGTGATGTTCGATGGTCATCGGTGATGATATTAATGCCCCTGAGGAAGGCGCAGCCTCAGCGAGGCCATGTATAAGCAAAGCAGGACGCTGAGTTGTTGCAAAAAGGGTGACCGCGAGACGCTAATGACTTCGGCCACCTGGGGATCATCCGGGGCCACCCAAGGAGGCGTGTCATAGATGAGAGCTCAGATGGGGGTGCAACAGCCCTTTGAGACAAGCTTACCACCTCAGCAACTGCTGGGATACACTCTCCAGATTTTGCAAGAGAAGAAAACACAGTCTCTCTGAAGAGGCGATTTAATTGGCCTCCAAGCCGAAATCTGCGTTTTCCAAATCCATGATTCTCCAAGGCAGAGCTGACATTTGGTTACGAAAAATAACCAGCTTCTTGATTGAGGAGAATTTGGCAGAAGCGCAGAGCTGTCAGGAGTTCTGATCTCAGGCTCTGCTCCTGGGAGGGTGGCATTGCACAATGGGACTGGGAGGGAATGTCCCAGCTAGGTGGAGCCAAGATTCCCTGTATGCGCTTGACTGATGCAAAGAAGGCATAAGACAGGAGCCTCCTATCGAGGTTGCTTTCCAAATTCATCGTTTCCAACTCAAGGCGTTTCCAGAAAAACTTGGTCCCATTGTCCTGAATGCTCAGTTCACCGGGCTGTCCTGAATCCTGAAGAACGGTATCTAATTCTGGTTTCTGCTAGCAGGAGAGTGTCAGTGGGACAGTCTCTGAAAGACTTTCCTGGGGAGGGTAGCGATATCTCTCTCCAACCAGTATACAGAGCACAACTGGCACCCTGGTTCCTTATTCAGGAAAGAAGTAGCAGTGTTGTTCAAGAACGGTTCTCCAGTTCTTAAGGTCATCAAACAGTCTTTCCCTGATTCATCTGTTATTCTCAAGGCTGAGTTTCTGCTTCTGCAGCTGACCAGGTAGTATCCGAGCACCTTAAAGACAGGTCACAGAGGGTCGGGGTGGGGGCTTCTAGAAACACCTGAGCATACCTGGCCTTCCAGACAGTCAGTACACCTACTTGAAAGGTCTTGGGCAAATGCTGCACAAATTCTTTTTTCAACCTTGCAGGAGCATTAGTTCTCCCCATCCAATGACAGGAATGTCCTTGACCATGAAGTATTTCTCTATTAAGACTGGCCCCAGAGTCTCTGGAGTTTCTGTGAAATCCAGCTTGACAAGGAAAGGGTGTTATTGGGACAATCCGTTCTACAGAATTGGAACCAAAGGTAACAGGAAGGTGAGCCACATTGTTTTGAGAAAGATATAAGACCACTGGAGTCAGCAATGGATGAAACCTGTCAGACAATGGCATCAAGGAAAATGGCTTCCTGTCTACCATGAAGCCACTGGCCAGAGGCTGAGTCCTGCAGAAAGGCAGTCAGGTGTACACTCCATACTCATACTCCATCCACAGCAGGAAGAGGGCACATCCTTCAAGATCACCCCAGCCGTGGCTTCTATGAAGACCACATCTTGTGAGAAGCAGCTGCTAATGAGAAGTTGACACTGGGGGTGTTTAGACTGGAGCTGGGATGACTAAGGGCTGGGATGATCAAGGGGATGTGAAGGCTGCTTCCACTTCCAAAGGGCTGTTGTATGGGTGGGAGTGTCCTCTTGGTCACACCAGTGGGAATGTCACAGCGAGGCTCGTCTGAACAGTCATTGCTGCCCAGGGAACACTGGGTTGCATCAGGAGGGAGTGAGCTGACCTTCACTGGGCAAAACCAGTGGGCAGTTCCTGAGGGGTCAGGCTAGAAGGCCATGGCACTCTGCACATCAGCTGTGGCCCAGAAGTCTAGCTGTCCTGGAGGTCTGAGGGTTTAGACTCTGACTGGTGCCTACCATTTCCCAGGCCAGGCGAGCATACTTTGGAAGGTGTATCTGTGAGGCTATTTTCTGAAGAGAATAGCATTTAAATTGGTAGGCGGAGTAAAGATGGTCATCCTCACCAATGTGGGTGGACACCATCCAAACCACTGAGGGCCCAAATACAACAAAAAGGTGGAGGAAAGGCAAATCCGCTCTCTCCGATTGAGTCGAGCCGTTCATCTTCTCCTGCCCTCTGGAGCTCCAAGCCTTTGGGCTCAGACTGAATTAAACCTTTGACTTTCAGTTCTCGGCTTACAGACAGCAGATCATGGGACTTCCCGTCTCAGTAATTCCGTAAGCCAATTCCTATCATAAATCTCCCCTATATACCTTTCTATAAACCCTACTGGTTCTGTTTCTCTGGGGGCTCTGACATCTAACTTTTGCTCCTTCTGTTACTTTGAAACAGTGGGTCTCATCACTGGCAGATCTAACACTCTTTTTATAATACACGATCCTTAATATCCCCTTCAGTCTCCTGAAATAAATTTCACAGATAATATAATCAGATCTCAGAATTTTAAAACTAAATATTCTAACTGTATCAAGTTAGAAATAAAATGTAGTTTATAATAAATAATATTCATTTCCATGTGTAAATGCTTGGCTAAGACCTCACCAGAGACTTGGTGAAATATTTAGAGGCTCTTACATACTTTTGCTAAATAGAGGATGAATTTAAGAGTAAAGGATGAATTGAAGTTGCTTTTCCTGTGTATTTGACTCTTTGCCAAGGGGAAAAGATTTTCCAAACTGCCGAAAACTCTTCATAAAACTCCAAAGAAAACAAAGCACAATCTTCTGAGAATATACATGCTAAAGTGTGGGCTTGGAAACTATAGGGTGCAAACGTCAAAGACACCGAGACAGTTTCGGTTTGTACCTAAAGGGTGGCCGCGAGGCAGAGATCATTACCACAGGACAGGATTCCACCCTCCGCAGTCTGACAACTCACTGCCGTGCAGGATGGTCCCACCGTGCAGGACACTTAGCATCACTAGGACAAACTAGAATGCCCCTGTGTGACCAAGCGCCACGAAGTGGCAGTGCCGCCAGGTGGTGACCTCAGCCTCCGCACCGGCCACTCATCGGGCGCGGGCACCCAGCGAACCCGGCACGTTTCTAGAGTTGCAGAAGACAGAGCCTCGGCATCTCCGTCTGCCTGCCGGGAAGTGTCTCCTGGGGCCACCCAGTCGATGTGCTCGGTTTTCCTTTCTAGGGGACCCGGGTGCGACTTCCTGAAAGTAACGTCCCGCGCCACCCTGCGCGGCTTTGTTACTCCGGGTGAGGAGAGCCGTTCTTCCCGTGGACCACAAGGGGGCGGCTGAGACCTAGAATCGGAAAGTTGCAGGTTTGTGAAACGTTGAAACGTCTGCAGATGCAAAAGAGATGGAGGCAAGCCAAAAACAGCTTGAAAACTTGGACTTATCTTGTGCTAAACGGTCTAATCTTTGGCAGCGCCATCCAGTTTTCTAATATACCCTGTTAGCACCGAACAATTTTGGGAGGCATTTCCAATCCTCTCAAATAATATAATGTTAATATTATAACAGCAATTTCAACATTTTCCAAGAAACACCAATGGGGACAGACAAAATAGGGAGGCAGTTGGCCAGTTCTTGCCTCCCCCAACACCCACCACACTTCTCTGGAAATAATAATGATGATAGATAGATAAATAGATAGATAGATAGATAGATAGATAGATAGATAGATAGATAGATAGCAGATAGATAGATAGATAGATAGATAGATAGATAGATAGATAGATAGATAGATAGATAAATATATAGATAGATAACAGATAGATAGATAGATAGATAGATAGATAGATAGATAGATAGACAGACAGATAGATAGATGGATGATAGCATATTTTGAGTACTTACCACATGTCATTGTTTCTCTTAATATTTTCTCTTCACCAATAACATTATGAGATGGGTATTATCATGCCCATGATAAACAGTATGGATGAGGCAACTGCAGCACAGAGAGCTTGAGTAATTTGGCCAAGTTATATTTCTGGTAAGTAGCAGAGAATCACTGAAGAAGAGTAGAACATTCAAGACATGGGGCAAAGGAGTCCCACTTGCTGGAGGAAGATGCTTTAGAATGACTCAGCCATCCTCATACTGCATGAAAACAAGGCAGCATGTACTCAGCTCGTTTCTTCAGATCTACTGAGAATATGAGGATGGTAAAATAAAAAACACCGAGAAGAAAAAAGCATTATTAAATATTGTTATTCCCAGTGTTGTGGTTCGTGTTGTTCATGAATTCGTCCAAGGCATTATACCAAGAGGGTCTGACAAGGCTAACATTGACTCATTGCCCGGAGTCTAGCTACAAATAGTCATAAGGCCTAGAACTGGACGAAATTGAGCCCTGAATTTTGAACCATGGATGAGCATTAGAATTCCTGGGGGAGTTTTAAAATACTGATATCTAGGTCTCCCCCAAGCCAATTGAATCAGAGTCTCTGGAAAAGGTGCCCAGGTACCTGTCGTTGGTTTTTTTTTTTTTAACCTCCCCAGGTGATTCTAGGGTTCAATCAATAATAAGAACCAAACTCCTTTTTATGAGGAAACTAAGGTCCAGAGAGGAGCCATAATGTGCCAAGAATTGAATGTTAAGGGAGTGCGGAGCCAGGTCTCCAGGTTTCTAGTCTCGAGTTCACCAAAAGCTCTACAGCTGCACCAGACTGGGGCCACCCCACAAGGAGACAGGCAGCAGGACACGAGGACCCCTGGGGTGCACAACACGCTCTGAGCTGACTCTTCACCTGCTTGCTGAGGTCTGAGTTGGGGGATGCTCAGCGCCTACTATTTAATGTCAGCTCCAACCTCAAGATCCCAGTGCCCCCCTCAGTGGTCAGAATTTCCACTACTGCAAATTTGGCCTTGGCCTCTCTAGCCCTGAGGAGAGCCATCCACTCCACCATCAACTCTGCTCATTGTTTCTTCATCTGCTAGTTGATTCACCAGATAAAATACTCGATACTCAGTTAAATTTGGATGTCAGGTAAACCACGAATAGTTCCTTAATATAAGTATGTCCTGTGCAACATGTGTATGTTTCTTTGCTAACTCTGGAAATTCTACCCAAAAGAACACAATGAGTGTGGTTTGGCCTGGCCTACTTGAAAGGGAGAATAAGCAGCTTGCCCAGACCACACGATCCCCAGCTGTCAGCTAGTGCTCTTTCCTCAGCACCATTTGGCTCAGAGAGAAATTATTATATTTAGACTTAATAAAGAGTTATATTTGGGGGGAAAAAGATAATTAAGAGAAATGTCTGCTCAATTATCTTATTCCTTTATTCCTGACAGTAGATGCATGCCTATTTGGACCATAAGCTATATAGCTCATACAGGCATTCATTTGCTGGAGGTTTGTGACGTGCTTCTATGTACTAGGTGTGGCGACCTTTTTCCCTTATAGCAGCCATCGTACCTAGCCAGAGGCCAACAACCTAATGGAGCCAGGCTGTGGGCCTGGGCAGTGAGAGCGTGAGTCTGGAGGCCACCGTTACAGGACCCTTAGTTGCTCAAGGCCTTGGCCTTCCTGAGGAGGTAAAGTTGCCCAACGTTGGAACGATCTGGTCAAGTTTATTCTTAAACCAAATACTTTGGGGAATTGAACCCAAAATGTTGATGACAGAGAGAGTCTGTTCCTTTGAAGAATCTGCTGAACTACCTTCCATCACCTTAAAATTGAATTGATTTAGCTTCAGGAACCGGGTGTATTTTAAAGGGCAACACTGGATATGAGGGAGAAGTATACTTTCATATCTGAAGCTGGCATCCTGTTTTTCCTTTCCCTTAAACCTGCTCCTGCCCTTAGGTAATGGCTTCACTGTCCTCCTAGCCACCCAGGTGAGAAACCGGAGACTCACTCCAGGCTTCTCCCCCTCCTCTATCTTCCGACTCTATTCACCCGGCCCCTGACTCCCTAGGCAAATCTTTCTTAGACCGAAATTGGTTGACGTGTCCTTGGAGTACCTGTGCTCACCAGCAGTACCTAGAGGTCCCCCGATGCCCACATCTTGGCCCTTACAGGGCATGATCCAGCTTCCTAATTTTTGTGAGATTAATAGGTGCAAAGTGATACCTAGATAGTTTGAATTCACATCTCTGTAATTCACATTTAGGTGTTTTAATCCATCTGCGTAGGCGATGTTTGGATACTGAAACTTTTCATTTTACTTACTTAGCATCCCTGGCCCTCGTGGCTCTCATCTCAAGCTAGGCAAGAGTCCCCACTGTTTTTCTGCCACTTGCCCTCCTCAAACTGCACTCAGCCAACTGCCTAAAGCACAGGCAGAAGCATGGCCCTCCTCTGCATAAAGTCCTTTAATAACTACCAGGCATCCTTAATAAATATGCAAACTTCTCAGTTGGCCCTTCAAGGCCTTACGTAATCTAGCTCTAGCTGGCTTTCCAGCCTTTTCTCCTCCCCTCTCTCACCAGTAGCCTCCCCATATGCCTGCCGCCCTGACCTCACCGCTTGCCTGTCTCCATCCCTTGGCTCACACTCTCTTGCACACATCTCTAGTACCCTCCTTATGCTGACTGTTGCCCCCTCAAGGCCTGGGATCAGATACAGCCTTCCCTGAGGTATGTGCTAGCCCAGGCCTCCACCTTCCCAGAACTCTCCAGGGCTTCCCCAGCACCCAATTCTCCATGCTTATGTTTTTGTCCCATGTATCTTTGTCTGATCTCTCCCACCAGAGCTCGAACTCCTGGAGGGCCTGCTATACATTTTATTTATTTCTCTCTCCCCGACCCCAGCATTTAACTCCAGCCAGTCCACACTGCAGGCAGGGAAACCAGATAAGAGGCTGCAGGATGGTTCAGTACAGGGAGACAAAGTACCTCCCTGGGAATGGGAAAGGAGAAATGGAGAGAGGGATACTCAAAAGCATCCATTGACTAGTTTGCCATGAGCATCAAGGGGAGGAGAGACTGGAGAACACTCTCAGCTCCTGGGCTTTGCAGTTTGCTGCATGGGAATCTAGGAGGAGTTGTGGACAGAGTTCGGTTTAGACATATTTGTGGCTGCAATGATAGAACACAGGGCTGCTGAGCAGGCAGATAGTTCAGCATGAAGCCAAAAAGACCTGAGCCCAAGATAGAGATTTGGAGTCATCAGCATACAGGTGGCATCCAACTCCAGGGGCATGCATGAAATTGCCCGGGGAGGCCAAATGACAGCCAACCCTGAGGAGACCAGCATGGAAGAGGTAGCTGGAGAAGACTGAAAGAATGGCCAAGGTTAAGTATAAGGGGGGTGTCCTGAAAACCAAGGGAGAAGAATGTGCTTGACTATCCCACAGGGCTGTGAGAAAGCTAAGAACAGTGGCCCGCCCAGCTCGCTGTCCTTTCTGCCTCTCCCCTCAGCCATTTTCTGTCTCCTCAGGGAGCAGCCACCTTGTCTGCATATCATGCAAAGCCACAGCTCCCGCTCCGGGGGCTTCATGTGGTAAAAGCCTAATAGCCGGTGTTTACCTTCCCAAGGTGCCTCTCATCCTGTTCTCGACGCTGGTGACATGAGGGCCCCACACACCGAGGTCAGACCCCTGCCCCTCATCTTTCTAATCACCTCTGTTTCTATCACTCCTACACCAGTTAAAAACAAGTTGCCAGAGAGATAGAGACAGACATTTGGCTTTTGAACTGGGTTTTAAAACTGGGTAGGCTTCATTTTGTAAAATAGTACTTCCGGGTTGGACGTTCCAGGTAGGGATGAGGGTGTGGTGGGTATTAAATAATAGGAAAACACCAGAGGAGCAGCATTATTTTATTCTTCAGCCCATGATGCAGCTTTAATGGGTGTTTCGCAAAGCTTAAGGAAGGCCTCGTTAGATCTCAGACTCAGAGAGGGGGATAATGAAGAATGAGGAGGAGGAGACTCTAGGTGGTGGACTTGGTCACCTCCACTTCCCCCACCTTGGACATGTACCTCTGTCCCGTGCATCTGAAAAACCAGATTCAGCTTCCCCTCTGCCCCTACCTCTTGCTTGGTGAGGCCCCAGAGGCCATCTGCCCAGGCTCCTGGCTCTGTACGCCTAGCGCCTGGGGCTCCCCTGTCTGAGCCTCAATAGACAGAGTGACCTTCACAGAGCCACAGCTTGACTTCAAGTCCCACTCCTGGCTGGCATTGAACATCAGTCCTGGGGAGCCTGAGTCCTGTCTAGGAGACAGCTGGACATTCAGCCAGCGACACTGGGCTTTGTCACATGAAAGCACCACAGTTCCTTCAGGGTTGCTGTAGGTGCACCAGCTCCGGGCCACCTTTTCTTCCATAGCCAGATCCCAGCTGTCCCCCGGCTCCCTGTCCTCTGGCCTCGGGGCCTGGAAGCCCAAGTGATCCCGGGTGACGGGGCACACCAGCTGCTCTTCCTTCAAGGCAGGCACCACCTGGCCCTTCAGGTAGGCAGGGCCTGCACAGTAGGTCTGGATGTTAAAGAGCCGGTCACTGTACTGGTGCAGCCAGCTGAAGAGGTAGGCCAGATGGCAGTCACACTGCCAGGGGTTGCCGTGCAGGGCGAGGTTGAACAGGTTGTAGTTGGTGTCAAAGATGCCCTCTGGGAGCGTGGTCAGGAGGTTCCTGGAGAGGCTGAGCAGCTCAAGTTTGGACAGGTTCTGGAAGAGTTCTGAGTGCAGGGCTGTCAGGTTATTGCTGCCCAGGTAGAGCTTGATCAACTCCTCCAGGTCCCTGAAGATGCCGGCTGGGAGATGGGTGATGGCATTGTGTGAGAGAGTGAGGGAGCTGAGGCTGGACAAGTTGGCAAAGGCTCCCTCGGTTACAGTCTTCAGCTGATTGTGGGACAGGGACAGGCCAACCAGGCCTGGGCTATGAGCAAAGAGGCCAGCAGGCAGCATTTGCAGTGCATTCCCCTGCAAGTTCAGATAGGTCAGCTTGCCCAAGGAGGAGAAGATGGATGGTGGTAGGTGCCTAATCGCATTGCGCTGCAGCCACAGCTTCTCCAAGTTGAAGAGCTGCGAGAACACTTCCGAGGGAAGCTCTGAGATGGAGTTGCCATCCAGGAAGAGCTCCTTCAAGCTGCCCAGTTTGGCAAACACGCGCTGGGGCAGGCCAGAGAGTGCATTGTTGCTGAGCTTCAGGGTGTGCAGGCTGCTGAGGGGCTCAAACAGCTCCTCGGGCAGCTGGGCCAGAAGGTTCTGAGCAAGGTTGAGGGTCCTCAGGCGTTTCAGAGGCTGAAAGAGCCTCACAGGCAGGATCTGGAGCCGATTGCCCTGTAGCTGGAGGGACTCCAGGGCATCCATGTGGTGGAAGAGGCTCTCAGGCAGAGCGTCCAGCATGTTGAAGTTGAGGGTTAACTGGCCCAGCGAGGTCAGGTTGGAGAAGCTGTCGGCGCTGAGGTTGGAAAAGGCGCTGCCAGTGACCTCCAGGTCCCAAAGTCTGGGCAGCCCCCCAAAAGCATCTGGCTCCAAGTGGTAGAGCTGGGTGTTGAGGAAGACCACTTTGGTCAGGTTGGGGCTGCCGCCAAAGGCCCTGGCTTTCACCGTAGTGAACGAGGTCTCTACAAAGACAATGTCTGTGGCGTGGGGTGGGATATCCAGCGGGATGGCAGCCATCTCCTCATCGGAGCAGAACACTTCCTGGACGAAGCAGTCACACCCCACAGGGCAGGGCCGGGCGAGCCTGGTCAGGAGCAGGAAGCAGGCCCAGCGCAGCCAGGCTCCAGGAAGCATCTCCTAGATCCGAGTGGGAAGAGAATAGAAGTGGTGCCTTTATCGAGGGCGGTGTGGTTCGGTGACCAGCGCGCTGGACGGGGAGCCAGAAGACGAGGATTCGGTCTGTCAGGGAGGCCACCCATTTGGACAGCAGTTTACGTTTTTAATGGTTGCTTTCATACTACCTCACAGAGCCTTGCAAGTCTGATGGGACCAGGCTTCTGACCTCCTGACAGCGAGAGTGTCACGTGGCCTGTCCACAGCCACCCTGCAGGTTAGTGGCAGGACCAAGACCTGGGTCTCTTGGACTGCCTCTGTTCTTTCCAGATTGGAGAAAGAGGCAGAAAGATGGCAGAAAAGGCATGAAAGAGAGTTATAAAAGGAGACTATGGATATTGTGGAATTTTAAAAACAATATGTAAAAATAGAGCAGATTATTCCTGAGTTGGAAATTTTTAAACCATAACTCTTCCTGAGATTCCAAATCTCAGCACATTCCTAATTGTGAAGAAATTTTACCATCTGCTCTTTGCACGTCCGCTGAGAGCAAGAGCTGCCACGGCGACAGGACACGCTTTTATTTCGAAACGAGCTGTCAGGCTCCTCAGTACTGCTGCCAAAATGCTCTCCTCCCGCCTGCAGCACCACTGGTGAGGATCGGGGTGCTGCAGGCGGGAGGAGAGCATTTTGGAACTCCAAAATGTTTAGAGGCCATGGAACTCTAGCATGGTGTGGACAGACGCAGGGATTCCACAAACCAGTAGGGTTTCGGTTTTTGGCTTTTGTTTCAAATAAGGGAAGGGGACTAGGTTTTTAACTGACGAAATATCAATTGTTTCAAGAATGCCAACATCCACCCACAAGTCATAAGTGGTGATGCAGCTTACAAGTGTTTATTTCTCAGTCCTTTTTATGTATGGACCATTCATTAGCCACGCAAAATTTGAGAAATATCACACTAAAAGTCCAGATTTCGGGATGACTTAGGGACAGTGGGCTCATTCCTATGTAACAAGATCAACTGGAGCTTAGCTGCCCCGTAAAGGGGCGTGCATCTCCCAGGTCACTACTGCTCTGACCTACGTAGTCATCGTTTATAGGGCTCGCAGTGGTCCAGCTTCCATAAATGCAAATTCCATATTCATCACGTCCTAGCTAGATGACCTTGGGCATGTTATTTAATCTGTCTATGCTTCAATGTCCTTATCTGTAAAATGGAGATAATAATAGTATCTATTGTGTTAGGGTAATTAAGGATTAAATATATAAGTAAATACAGGTAAAGGTTTTAGATCAGTGTCTGGCATAGAGTGGGCAATTAATGAACTATTTTAATTATTGTTAAAGGTTGCAAGCCACCATCGTTACAGAAAAGATTATTTGTACACCAAAAAACTAGTTAAAACAAAATGCCCTTTAGATATAGATGGAAGGAAGGAAGGGAGGGAGGGAGGAAGGAAAAATTCTCACACAATATAATCCCAAATTTCCTCAGTTTATCTGTCCTTAGTAAGAACTCACAATTGGCTCCCTGTAGAGACATCTTGGGCCCCATGTGCCTCTTCTGGCTCCCTCCTCCATCGCAAAATTCGGCTTCTGAGTTAAAGGGCTCCGTCTCTGAAAGTCTCCAGCAAACACGGTGCTTACAAAAGTCCCTGTACCCTCCTCCCATTCAGACACTCAGTTTTTCCAGAAATTCAATAAAGAAGGGACAATTTCTTCCAGAGAAAGTGCATGCCTCCCTAGAGGATCCTCTGATGCACACATAGATTTTGAGTAAGCTCCAGGAGGTGAATTTTACACGGTGGTAGGGAAGAACTCTAACAGTCACTGTGCCTGCCTGCCGCTCCGGACGGAGGGAAATGAACGAGCCTCAGATAAGTGTGCGCCTCCTGGTTCCACATCCCCTAGAGCAGCAGTTACAGAGTTCAGCTTTAGCCGGAGACTTTATTCTCTAAAGAGTGTGTGCATAGAATACAGACAAGATGCAGAGGGCCCTGGCCGAAGACGGGTGAGGCAGCCATTGTCGCATCACACCTGCCACCTGGGCTGCCCCTAGGGATCCTACACAAAACCCAAGGGATCCTGACAGACTCCTTCCCTGACCCCAGAAACAAGGCACCTGGCAGTATGTTTCTCTATCTTCGCACCTAGAATAGTCCTCTGAAATGCAGGGTTTTCGTGGAGGTCCTCTTGGAAAGAAGGTGGGTTTACTCGTCTCGCCACACTCAGCGTCCAGCACAGTGTTGACACAGTGGGTTTGATTAGGGTTTGTTGAACCGACCCCTTCACCCCTGACAGGCAGAGCTGCCCATCCCTGGAATGGTTCAAGCCCAGAGTGAGTGACCACCAGCCAGGCCGTAAGAGTGGCCTCAAATCCTCGTCCTCCTGAGAGTAAGAGGGAAGCAATTCCTACCTTTAATATGCCATAATGTTATCACAGGCCTGTCCCCTTTTTTTGCTAACCCCTTTGGTCCTTGGTTCTCACAGGCAGTTTTCAGAAAAGAATTCCACCAGAAGGGACACGAGGGCCCTAGGGGCCACCTGGCCAGCCTCCTCGTAGAGAGGGCGTCCACAGTGGGGCTGGGGTATGAACCCAGATCCCCTGGTTTTCCCATAGCTCCTGCCAGGAAAGCTGAGACCAAGGCAGGAAGTGCAGATGAAAAGAAAGCTAAAGCCTCATGGGGAGAACGTGTCTCACCTACGGAGCCAGCGTGAGCGGCGTCCCCTTTTCCCTTGGCCCGTGCCTCTAACTTCTAATCCGCTGTCATTTGGAAATAACATGCTTTAGAATTTTCCAGTGAAGGAATTAACTCGAGATTCAGGACTGAAATTAAAACTATGGCATCAGTCACACAGAAAGTCAATTGTAGGCAAGTCAGCTTTGGCTTGGGCAGCAGCGGGTGAGGGAGGTAGTGGGGACCCTCTCTGATGTGGGTGGCGGAGCTGAGGGAGCTGCTCCCACTTGCCAGTTCCCAAAGCTCCTACACATACATCTCGACACTCAGAGCAAATCTAGAAGTGCCCAGAATAAGGAAACAGGGATCCCAGAGCCACAGCGACTGGTCCAAGGGCACACAGCTAAGTGAGGAGCCGGGATCAGACCTGATGGCCTGAGTTCTAAGCAAGGTGCTTGCCGTGACACCCTGAGGCTCCATACCATGAAAGTGAAATCAGTGTGGATGGACAGGCCTGCTCACATTTGCAGGACCCAAGATGAACATACAGAAGGGCGCTCACCTGCTATCTCTCCCCTACTCTTCCCACCCGACTCCAGTACTACAAATTGAAACACCACATGCCTAAAGGCCTGAACTTCCATGACATGGTCAGCCTAAGGAAGATGGATCTGGGGAGGTAAACCGCACAGGATGGGATCTGGGTACTTGAAACATGGTTTAAAATGGGGCATAGCCTCTGAGGAGCATGTCCCTTTGATCTTGCAAACTTCTCTCCCCTGTAGTTTCATGGTGGAGGGGAGAACCACATAAAGTTCAGGGCAAGACCCCTCTTGCGCATGTCTACTGGAGCAAGAAGAAACAGGGAATGATACTTCACGATGAGGGAATGGAACACGGATAATTTCCAAATGATTCACTTCTAGCCCCACTCATTCTCCTAGCATTCCAGAATGGCTAAGAGTTTGTGCTCTGGATTCAGACGGTCTGAGTTCAAATCTTGTCTCTCCTTTATTAACTGTGTGGCCTTGGCTAAACTAGATAACCTCTCTGTGCTTCAATTTCCTCATCTTCAAAACAGTGAACTTCAATACTACCTTCCTTGTGGGGTTGTTCTGAGGACCGAGTGAGAATATGCATTGAAAGTTCCAAACCCAAAGCCTAGCACAGTGTATACTCAGCAACATTGGTGACCCTGATTATTCTGAGTTCAGGCCAGCCCCAGCTTTGTTCTGAAGTAGTCACAGAGGTTGGCTATAAAATGACTGATGAGATCATCCAACTACTCCATTTATGGACCCAGGAGGTTTATGACTCTCTACGGCACTTTTTCTGCCTCTTTCATTCTAGTCAAGAGAGACGTGTCATTGTTTTGTCTTTGGCTTAGGTGGAGCACAGATTCTGATGGCTCTGGCCAGGATGCTCTGGACTTGGGCTCCTTCCTTCAAGAGTAGATCACTGGGGGCTGGGCTCTGGAGATGGGAAGTGCCCCTGCTTAGGCACTGTGGAGGCTGGCGGGGACAGTGGGACAGCAGCCAGAAAATTCCTGCTTCTCATTCGAAAACCACCTCTGCATTTATGCAGAAACCAGAAATACCCACAAAAATGTTCCATGCTCTCAGCAAGCCAAGGAAGTCTGGATTTTTGGGGGGGGAGTGGTAGGAGGAGGGCTGGGGAGAGGTGGGGTTACTGGTTGCAAATGGACTCTTTCCTCTTCTCAAATTGCTTTTGGCGTGGGCACAAAAGGCCAGTCTGTCATCCACCACAGTGCTAACAGTCCCTCTTTCCAGAAAGTAATGGCAACGCAGATCTGCTGACTGTCTCATCCAGGTCCCCAGGGAAGACCTGCTGCTCCCGGACCTCAGTCTCCTTCCCTTTCAACCCAGGAAAATAAGTCAAGGGGCTGAGGCAGTCAGACCCGATGTGGGCTCCTGCCTCTGTCCTGCCCTACAGGGCCAGCTCTCCCCAACCTGCTGCTTGGTATGTCCCAGACAGCAAAGTGCCCCTGCAGAATCCCAGGTTCTGCATTTGTAAATTAGGAACAACCATGATAATAATAATAGTACTATCTAAATTACAGTGTTGTTAAGAGCGATTGCAACAATTAAACGAGATAACTGGCACTGATTTTGTGATATTGTGATATAATAAGAAATATGTATTTGGTCTTCGTCCTGGTTCCCGGCACAGAGCTCCAAAAACCCTTGGAATTTCCTGAGCGATCAAAGAGGAGTATCTTTGGTTATTCATAGAAAGCCCCTTCCAACACACATGAAGTAAATGAAATAACTCAAATGGGCCCCTACATAGCTTCAGATTATATGCAAAATATTTGCTATAGTTATCTCTGAACAGTAGAATTGTGGGTGGTTTAAATATTTTCTTTTTGCTTAATCATAATCATATTTTTTCTACATTTTTAAAACAGCAGTTCTCACTTTTGTAATAAGGTTGAACGTTCTTATAAAAATTGAGATAATTTTGTAAAACATGCAGCACAATCCCAGGCACGTAATAGCGGCTTACATGATTTTGTTCCCTCCTTTGCAAATTGCAAAGGCTCAAAGGAGCTTGTCTATCAGCTGTGGTAGCGTTCTTGGGGAGAAGATAGCTAATAATCTGAAATAAGAGGAGGCTGTAGACTGAGCACTGTCCTTTCTTCAAATGCTCTAACTGTCACTTACGTAGCCCCTCACACTTTAGAATGCCTGTGCCTTCCTCTCCCCGTTGCTACCTGTCTCCATTCTACCTACCTACCTACCACCAGGCCAGCACTAGTCACACTTCTCCCAGAAGCCTTCCCTGATTACACCTTCTTTGGATTCCACAAGTCACTCATGTTCTCTGTTGACTGCTTGGTCCTTCTACTCTGTCTTCTAGTCGTTTGCATCACCTGACTGTGAGCCCTGCAGCATCTTCTACCTGGCTGTGCACCCCAACACCTGGCTCAGGGCTGAGGACAGAGAAGGTGCCCAGGCCCTGTGTGCTGAAATGAACAGAATGTGCTCATGGCTCTCGTGACCCCGAATCTCAGGTCTTACTCTTCATCCTGCTTAGTGGCATTCAAATTCTGACATCGCTACCTACTCATTGTGTGGGCCTGGGCAGGTCCCTCCATCTCTCTAAGCCTCAATTTCCCCATCCATAATTACAACCCCATTTCTTAGAGTTAAAATTAGAACTCAGTAAGATGATGAATATGCTAAATTAGATAGTAAATACAAAGCACTTAACACAGTGCCTGGCAAATAGTAAATGTTCAATAAAAGATAGCCACATACACGTTTTATTCCTAGAGTGACTATAAATCTCAATCAGAACACTTCTGGAAATGAAAGGGGAGCTATTGATACTTATGCCAGGATGACAGGCACAAACTAGGGTGGGACCAGACAACCTTGGACAATGGTCATCCTGCTTATCACCACCATTCACTGTGGGCTGCCCGAGCACAGGGAGCGGGTCTTTATCTCAGAGTTCCCCTACCGCGAGATGCCTCCTGCTTCAGCCCAGCACCACCCTGGCAGAGTAGCTCAGGGACTCTTCCCAGGGGACACAGGCGCTGCAGCCTGCCTGGAGTTGGGGACATGCTCTGAAACCTGGGAGGAGTTGCCAGCCCCTCCCCTGCCCCCTAGCCAGAATCCCAGATTCTTCCCACAGATTCAGGAGACCTACCGTGAGGGGCTAGGCAGGAAGGGACTCACGGCCCTGGCTCTTCCTTGGGAGCAGAAGGTGTCTGGTGTGGTCTGTGGTCAGTGTGGACCCAGCAACCTGGCACTGATCAAAGTTCCAGGAAGTAGTCCCTCCCCTCACGTGGCCTGAGGGTTCCCGGAATGTCACTCAGGTCACAGGACAGGAGAGAATATGCAGCAAGGCCTCTGAAGATTACAAAATGATCCCGAACTGCTCCCGTAGACAGATGGCCTCTGGGGCCAAAATCTAGCTAAGATCACAGGCTTGGAATCTTTAGGACCCCCAGGGCACCCACCAGGCCATAGAAAGTTCCCAGTAGGCTGCTCCAGGAGCAAGGACTGGGACTAGGGGTCCAAGTTCATACCTCTCCTTACAAAAGGCCAGGCCGGGTCCCAGGAGCCAGACCTTCTCTGGAGAGCCAGCCGCAGGCACCTGCTTGTCTCTTAAGGCCAGAAATAATTCTAAAACAGTTGTAGGTTTGTTGTTTTGTTTGTTTGTTTGTTTGTTTAATAAGCTAACTTTCTAAACCCTTTATGAGTTAAAAGGGGAAAAAACTCGTGGAGGTTAATTTTGGCTCAATATGAAGAACATTTTTACCCTAGGATTATCCAAGGATGAAAGAAGTTGCTTTGGGAAGTGGTGATTATCCCGTCTCTGGAGGTATTCATCCAGGGGCTTCAGAACAAGGTGAAGAGTATATGTGTGTGTGTGTGTGCGCGCGCGCGCGCGCTTGTGTGTGTGTGTGTGTGTGTGTTTTCAGGGGTGCAGAGTGAAGGGATGACCTAAATAAGCAATCTAAGATCATTTTCAATGCCCAGAGTCTACCATTCAAAGTATTTGGATAGCTTTTAAACTCATTGCATGGTATTAATATTTATGTCACTCTTTCTTCAGGTTCAAACTAATGTTTCTTTTGCATGTGAGTAGATTGCATCGGTAAAATTGCAAAAGTCTGATAGAGTGTAGCAAGAAAGCATTTTTCAATGGAGACATATTACCAATCCACAGGCAAAGAAAAATGGGAATACGTAAGAGGGGAGAAAGGCTATGAACAAAATGCTCCCTGCCCCACCCTCAGTAGCACCAAGACTGGCAGGGGCAGGGTGGCTGAGGGGAGGGGGCATGCCTCTGTAGAAGGCTCACAACCAGGCTAACAGAACAAGTTCTTAAGGCAATGACAGAAAGAGCTTGTCGTTTCTCAATGTCATGGTGAACAAGATAAATCTGGCCTGCCACGAATCTGGGTTTGAATCCTGGTTCTTCAACTAACTAACCAGTCCTTCAAACCTCTTCATTCTCAGCTGCGGAATGGGTGTGACAGAGGGCCTGGCAAGGCGTGCGTGTGTGCGTGCATGCGTGTGAAATTAAACTGCACAGGTGTGCAGGGGTGATTTGCATTAAGAACTCCAGGGATCTTCTGGGAGATGGGATGAAGACTTAAACTACTTTCCCCATTATCCAAAATTCCAGAAACCTGTCTGAGTGGACAGGTGCAGTGGTTAGGGAAGCACAGCAGAGCCCCGCCTCCAGTCATAGAAGGGGGCCAGCCCCCTAATATACTGAACACACTCTTGACCCCTGTCCATGTCCAGCCTCCTGGGACAGGCTCACACCTGGCAGAAGGGATCTAAGAGCTAGGAAAGCCTAGGTTTGAAAGCACCTTTCCTGGTCATAGTAGTGGGATTACAGGAAGAGCAGAGAGGATCAGCTTCCTCTTAAGCACTGGGTCTGTGCCAGCAGCAGTGACAGCCCTGGAACCTGGAGCCCTATAATTGTCCTGGGGCCACCTGGACACTTGGAGGGAGTCATCTTCATACAGATGGTGTCTTCTGAGAGCCTGTGATTGGCTGAACCTGGTGCTAAGCACTGATAGGAGTCTAAAGATGCATAATAGTCCTATTCACCTCAGCCTGTCTACCTGTGCGTGCAGGTGCGAGCATGTGCACATTAAACCAATGCTGAGTGAACTTCAGTGCCTTTCTGGTGATATAGAAGAAACTCTAGCCTGGGAGTCTGGAGGCCTTGTTACAGAGCAAGTTCAGCCACTAGTTCACTGGGTGACAATGGGAAATTCATTTCCTGTCTTGATCACACTTTCTTCATCTATAAAATGTGTCGAATCTATTCTTAAGGCCCCTTCCAGCCACAGTGGCCTACATATGTCATTTGTTATTTTATTTTGGTCCCCACTCACTTTCCAAAGGCCTTTTCCCAGCCCGGAATCTATTCTCTAGGAAAGGCTCTCGGGTCAGCCTTGCATACATGTGACGAGAGTAGAATTAACAGGTGTGAGATCCCCCAGCAAAGACATCCGTAAAGAGCACTTGTGTCCTGTGTATACCATTTATTGTTGATTCTGTTCACCAAATTTGTTACAAGAAGCATCCAGCAAAGACCCCCAGCAAAGACAGCCCCCCCCCAACCCTGCCCACTAGGGCTCACACCCTATAAAACCCCGGGGACCCAGAAATCTCTAAATGCATCATCAAGCACCTGGGATTATTTGCAATGATTATCTAAGCAAGGTAAACATGATCTATGACTGAAGGCAGCATGAAGGCAATGGTTTGGTGAGAAAAATCCAGCCTTAGATGAAGGAGAAAGCTCAGACTTGAAGGAGTTTGCCCTGGAGGACACCCGCCCACCCTCTCTGAAATGGCTTCCTCCCCAAGACCACCACCACCTGCCCAACAACCAGGATTCAGTTCCGACTGTTGGATCTGTGGGCTTATTTCTTTGTGAGGTTTATAGGTAAAGGCTGGGATACATCCACTGCCTGTTTGCCAGCTCTAGTTATCTAGCCGTCGGCTCTCCATAAGCTTCCTGAGCGTGAAAATAAACTCCCAAAACTGCTCTATCCTGATGTCTGGAAGGCTGTGAAAACTTGTTGCCCATGACAAGTTCTGACAACTGTGTCGTGCCTTTAAATTCTAAAGAGGGGAACAATATTTCCATGAGAGGGACCAGTTTTTCTTTAATAGATGGACGAGTTTATTTTTTCCCCTACATTTATGATTTTTGATCCACACAGCACCAAGTGAGGTTTCAATAGCTAAGACTATAGGGAGCAACAAGAAAGTGACTCCCATTTTTTCAGTGTAATGATGAAAGTTTAGGACAGGCCAAAAGGTCTCATACAAAGTTTGAAGAGAGGAGGAAAACCCAGAGCCTACTGCATAACGTTGTAGAAGAATGAGCACTGTTAGACCCTATTGCCGGGGGATAATGGCAGTGCTCATGCATCAGGGTAGAGTAAGGGCTAAAAAAAATAAAATAAATGCCTGTCGAGTGCTTTAAAGGATAGTACACACAGAAAGCATTTTTGAAAAAACAGTGGTTCTAACTGTTCCTTTCTCCCATCAGAATGGATTTGAGTTTCCTTTCCATCCAGCTTTTCTGGCAGCTCCTTGACCAGATAACACAGTGCAGAGAGGCCAAAAGGCCTGTCAAGGAAGAGGAGGCCTGATGGCAAGCTCAGAAGGTCAAGTATAGGGTTCACCACCCTGATCTGGGGTGCTCCTGGCTGGGGTAATCTGGGGACAGCTGCTCTCAGGCCAGCCTTTGGCCTGGGGGCCCATGTTGATATACAAGGCCAAAAAGAAGGGACTCCAATGTCATGGCCAATGCTGGAAATACCCAAGGGTCCTGGGTTCATATTGGCAGGGCACACTGGATGAAGACTCCTCTACCTCTCTGCCATCTCTGGCCCACTTGTGCTTTTGCACAAGGAGACATTAGAGCAGACTCATAAGGAGCACCTTAAGGAATGCAGTACCAACCATGCTTCTTCTCTGGAGAAGAGCAGGCCAGGCTTCCCCTGTGGCCCCAGGATCGATATGGCAGGCCACCATCAGTGGAATGATGCTCACTCCTCAAGCTCTGAGCTCACTTCCTTTTGGGCCCTGACGAGCCTTCATACACGTCCACCAGTTGCTACAAATATTTTGAAAACATTTTGAAGACCCATATTTACCTTAGGAAGGTGATGTCTTTTGCCAGTGACAGGCTCTATCTCTCCCAGATTCCTTTGGAATAGAGAGTGAAAAGCTACTGAGAGCACTAGTTCTTGCGCACACCCCTTCCTGGGCCCTTTTGGTGGGCACCTGTCAGCAGCATGCTGCTAAGGCCCCAGAGGATTTCTTTACTTGTCTTGTGGGGCAGAGGGAACCAGTAAGAGCCAGTCTGGATTGATGGAGGATTTCCAAATCTTTGTAATGTTGGCTACAGCTCTTTCCTGGGCAAACAAGGACATCTGAAATTCTCCATTGAGAACTTTTACGTCTAAACTGGTAGACCGGTTGTTCAAAAAAAGATTTGAGTTGCTATGAGCACAATTTTTTTAACCAGTGTGAATCTATGTGCAGAAGGAAGGATTGCAAGGGCGAGTATTCATGTGATTGTAACTCGAGGAAGAAAATAAGCATGGACTAAACAACTCATTTCTTATAATCAGACCAACAGGCAGGAGGAGCTCCAGAGAGCCCCCAACCCCATGCGATCTATCTGTGTACACTGATATTTTCTGCTGCATGTTAGAACTCTGAAGTTCCGTTTCTAGCTGACTGTACTGTTGATAGAGAATTTTGCCACCACATTAGAGGGATCACTAGGTTCCATTACACTTGGCCATTCAATTAAAGGATCTCATCTCTGAGGTATTTCACTTCCCTCAAAGGGTAAGTGAAAATTAAAAACAGATACAGGCATATCATGCCCATAAAAGGCCCAGGCAGGAAGGCCTCCAATGAGCAGCAGAAAACTTGTTGGCAGGGAAGGATATGTGGCTGCATGGTCCCCTGCAGTTGAGATGCTTCTGACCTGGCCAATCTGGGTGCCTCAGGGTGTGGGGATTTAATAAAATCTTCTGTCTAGACCAGAGTGTATCCACATCTTCTGCTCTACCCCTGGTAGCTGGACATTTGCAAGGGTTGACTGGTTGGGGGGACAGTGAGAGGCCTGTCCTGGCTCATGGGGAGCCAGTTCCCAGGTGAGTCCATGGCGTCTCCATAAGCCTCTGTCTTCTCCAATAACAACCCAGGATGGAGGATACTGGTTGATGGAGGTCCTGCTTCTCTATCTGGATGCCAACTATACAAGTGTGTGCAGTTTGTGAAAATCCATCAAACTAAACACTTTCATGCTCCCACTTTTATGTGTATCTGTTATACTTTTTAGTAAACAGTTAAAAGAGAAAAACCTAAGGGGTGAACACAAGGACCCCCAGGTACCAGGTTGCTTTCTCCATCTACTACCAATAAGCTGATTTTAACAATCGTAGGGGGCGGAAAGTCTACCTGATTTTAGTCCTTAAAGGACTAAAAATTTCCCATTTGGAATATCATTCTCTAAAAGACTGTACTGGTTGCACTGGTGCCTTTCTTCTTTTTCTGGATAAAAACCACAAGAGAGATGCTGACGACAGCTCTGTCTCCAGGAACTGAGCAGCAAAGTTTTTAACTTCTCTCTTTCACAGCATCCTAAGAGCCAGGGTGCTTGGCAGTTCTTAAGAAACCAGGTAAGTGGTTTGAAGCCTTCTCTGATGAGAGAACTCACCCTGCTTCAGAAGCAGAAAATCAAGGGAGAACTTTCATTTGAGGGGACAGGGTGGAGCCATGCCACAAACGAGAGAAGCAAAAGAAGGGAAATCAACTTACAGAATACTTGGGAGAATACTTGTCCCACTGGAGAACTATTCCCACAAAGTGAGCAGACATGTAATAAGCGAGTCTACAGAGACCAGCAGGAGCACAGGCGCAGGGAAGGGTGCTCTTGGAGGAGAGCTGGTGAGGCTTTGGAGGAGGGGTTTTCTTGAAGGAAGCCCAAAGATGTGAATTAAAAACCCCTCAGGGTTTTTGCCGGTGGCCAGTTGATCTCCCTGGTGGTGAGAAGGTCCTGCAAGAGCAGGTCAGGAAAAGGTCAGGGGCACTTTTCTCTCAGGGACCAGAGAGGGAGCAGAGGATGGCTCTGTAGACCCAGGGGCAGAGGTGGAAGGATGAAGTTCCCGGATCCTCCAGTGGTCCCCCGATCCCCAGCTCTGCCCCCAGCCTGCCTCTTTAACACTCATTGGGTGCCTTCATCTGCATCAGGACTGCATGGCTCCGCTTCTTGCAGCAGCAGCAGCAGATGCAAGCAGCTAGGGAGCAGGCTAGGGCAATGATGCCAATGACAATGGCGGCAATGGCCAGCCCGCTCTGGGCCCGGGTCATGCCCCATACGTTGCGGTCATCGCTGGTACTGATGGTGGTCAGATCAGTGTAGTCCTTCATGGAGGTGGTGAGCTCAGGGGTGGAGGCGATGGTAGTGGTTTCAGAGTAGCTGGGTGTGTCTGGGTACTTTGGCGTTTCTGGGTAGCTGGGCACCTCGGGGGTCACTGGGACCTGGACACTGGGGACAGCAACATTGACGTTGATGATGATAAGAGACTGGCCTCGGACATTGGCTGGGCTGAAACACACCGGGAGGGTGTCTGTCCCCAGCCTGGGCTTATTGAGCATGAGCCAATTTTGGAGCGGAATGATGTCTGAGTCACACCTCCAGGGGTTGTCATAGAGCCGTACCTCACATAGATTCCCCAGGTGATCAAAGATACCAATGGGCAGGTTCTCCAGCTGGTTATTCTGCAGCTGGATGGTCATGAGGCCATTGACATTGGCGAAGATATTCCCTGGGAGCTGTCTGAGGCGGTTGTTCTGCAGAGAGATGTTCTGCAGGTTGACCAACATGCGGAAGACATTGCCGTCCAGCTCCTGCAGTGCATTGGTGTGGAGAGACAGCTCCCGCAACTCTGTCAGCCCATTGAAGGCTCCCGGGGAGATGTAGCTGATCTGGTTGCGGCTGAGGATCAGGACCTGCAACTGGTGGAGGCTGCTGAAGACATTGTCAGGTAGAGAAGTGAGGTGGTTGTCGTAGAGCCAAAGCTCACGCAGGTTGTGCATGGGCCCAAAGATCCCTGGAGAGAGCTCCTTCAGGGAATTCCCAAAGAGCGTGAGACGGTTGAGCTGGGGCAGCTGCAGGAAGATGCCAGGGGGCAGCTGGGAGATGTGGTTGTTGGACAGATAGAGTTTCTGGAGGTTACGGTTGTTGTGGAAGAGGCCAGGGGGGAGCATGCCAATCTGGTTCTGCTGCAGGGCCAGCTCCTGGAGGTTGTTTAGCCCATCAAAAGTGCCTATGGGGATGTCTGAGAGCCTGTTTTCACACAGCCGAAGGACCTGGAGGTTGCCCAGGCGCTGGAAGACCCTGGGCGAGAGGTGAGTAAGGCTATTTTTGCACAGATTGAGCTTATTGAGGACCATCAGGTGGTCAAAGACGCCATCAGGGATGTATTCCAGGTGGTTGCCGTGCAACTGCAGTTCCTTGAGGTTGCCGAACTGAGAGAAGTGTGCCGGCTGAATCTGCACCAGCTGGTTGCTGGACAGAAGGAGCGACTCAAGGTTGTCCAGGCCCTGGAAGAGGCCAATAGGCAGAACCTGCAACTTGTTGTTGGCGAGGCTGAGGTAACGCAGTGAGCCCAGATTGCGGAAGGCACCAGGCATGATTTGGGACAGCTCATTCTTCTCGATCCTCAGGGCGATGAGGGCCGAGATATTGAGGAATGGAGACTCACTGAGTTCGGTGATGTGTGTGTTGAGGATCTGCAGGCTCATGGCGTTCCAGGGCAGAGGGGTGGGCACTGCCACAATGCGCGCTCCGGTGCACTCCACTTGGGAGGCCCTGGAGCAAGTACACTCACTAGGGCAGCCATAGTAAGCCAGCCCTGTGCCCCAGACTTGGCTGCCCACCAGCAAAAGGAGATAATGTTTCAGAGGCATGGCCTGTGCAAGGGGAGAGAGCACACATGAGTCAGGGTCAGATCATTGACACTGCAGCTATTTTTAAGCCAAGGTCAACTTTTGGTACCACACACTGGCTTGCCTCTGAACCCCATCACCACATATCCAACTTACGTTCCCTGTGGTCTGGTCAACAAGCTTCTTTGCCTTCCCCCATGCCTTCCTAATTCCATGCCTTTGCCCAAGCGATTCCCCCCACCTAGAGTGTTATACGAATGTGTGCAGTTGTTCCAAGCTCATCCACAACATGGACTTTGTAGACAGAAAGGCCTCTAATCTTACCATTGTTAGTGAAGGGATTAAGGATTTCTGTGTATATGTGGAACATCTGCATGTTCCATCTGAGGTTCAAAGGGGATTCTAACTCCCAAAGGGTTAAGAACTCCTGATCATACATTCTCGTCGTTTTATGGGGATGCAGTTAGCAGGGAAACTGAGACTCAGAGCTTAGCCCAGATCTTCAGGTGCCTAGGTGAAAACTTTGAGTGTTAATGCAGTGCCTCTTTTAATGAGCTAAAACCCTGAGTCAGAGGAAGGAATTTCAGATGAAAGCATATAAGGCATAAACAGGCTGGGTGGAGAAGGTTTTTCCCTGGCCTCTCATTGTTCCCCTGAGCTTATGGAATCCTGAGTCTGGCCCATAACTCAAAATAATATAGGCTTCTCAATCTGGCCTCAGCTCAATGTACCTCTCCCCTGCTCCTCAACAAGCTTACTCTGAGGAGAGAACCCAAGTTCATCTCCCACCCACCCAGACTTTGATTTTTCACTTGTTCACAGTCCATCCAAGCCCTGACATGCTGTACTTTTGCATTAAGGGTTTGACTAAGTACATGCAACAGAGGAGAAAAGAAAGAATAACTTGGCCAATGAAGTCCAGTGCAAAGAAATAGGGCCAGATTAAACTATGGACACGTCTAAAAGGATGAACTTGTATAAGCAAATGTAAAGTCCAGAATTTGAGAGCATAAAATGAATAGCCTGAACAGGCAGCACAGAAAAAGCGACTCAACATCCACGCAGGAGAAAGGCTTGTTGATGGTAACAAAGAATGGAGACTGCCGACAAAAGGTAATGTAATCTTAGACTGCATTAATAGAAGTATTAAGTGCAGAAAAAAGGAGGTGATGGTCTTACTCTACACTGCTCTGATAAGGCCACACCTGTAGCGTTGCGCTCAGTCCTACCTTGAACTTCAAGAAGTGAAATGACAAACCAGTCTTTTAAAAGCCTTTTAGAGAAGGGTAATAGGATAGTAAGGGGACCCAGAAACCAGAGCATCCGAGCATCCATTGAAGGAACTGTGGATAAATAGCCGGAAGAAGAGAAGATATGAAGAGCCTATAAGCATTTTCCTAGTATATACGAAGGACTGCCCTGGGATAAAGAAAGCAGCTTTCCTCAGTGTGGCTCCGAGATCAAAACCAGTGGGCAGAAGGTATGGGGTAGCTGATTTCAGTTCACCACCAAAGAGAGAGTCTGTCTGAATCAGAATGGACAACCACATAGAGAAAGTAAGTTCCCTGTCCCTGGAAGTGTTCAAGCAGAGGCTGAGCAACTACTCAGTAAGGAAGCTGAAAAGAAGCTTCCTATATCTGGTAGGTTCTTGACAGCTTGTCCATCCCCAAGACTTTAGGATTCTAAGGCTGAGTTCCAGAACAAGAATATGAAATCTATCTACCAGGACAATGTGCCACCTGTGCTCCCAGGGGTCTGTGCAGGCAGGTCCGGGGGTGTTTGCCCATCCCCCTGGTATATGTATGTGTGAGAGGTTTTTACTCCCTGGACTGAATTACAAAAGGTAAACGTCTCCTCGCTCCTGGTGACATGCTAGCTAGCATTTATTTATTTATAATGTATACTCCTATGCCCAGTATGCTTCAAAATGGTGTCACAGCCCAAGTGTCAGAGACTTGGGCACTAAAGTAAATGTCCAGGGCAGTCTATGTGGACTTTCTCCATCTGTAAATAAGGGTGTGGACAAAGTCCCCTCTGAGGACTCCTCTCAGGCCTTCTCTGAGTCTGTATTGCCCATCTGGGGAGGGGGCATCAGCCAGCCCCAGGAACATCCCAGGGCCAAGGCAAGGTGCCTCTTGGCTTGGGAGAAGGAGGAAAAAGATAATTTCCTTATGGGAACCGAGCCACTGTTGTTTAAAATGAACCACACTCAGCTTGACGAATATTGCAAGAATTTGCAGATTTTCCTTTTTATAAATCCTTCTGTCTGCAGAGCCCACCCCAGTAGCACATGCAGTGGTTTCCTGTTTTCCAGCACTTGTTACTGCCACAGCTGGTACTGACTGCTCCAAAGGACCTCCGAAGAGCCCACCTCAAACACAGATGCAGAGCCCTCAGCAGAAGGGGGGACTGCAGAAGAGGGGCTGGAGAGCCAGCCAGGCCCTGGGATTTTCAGTAACTGTTGCAGGCATAGGTGGCAGCCTGTCGCCCTTAGGATCCCAGCACACAGCAGCCTAATAGCCCACGCTGCCCAGTGCCGCTTGACAGCCATGACAAATGCCAGTTAAAGACCCACAAAGCTGCTTTAATTACACCCTCCTCTCCAAGGTGGCAGAGTGCGTCTTCAGTCACTGCAGCAACTTGCTCCAGCCCCTGTTCTGGGAGGAGGCACAGCCTGGCGTCTGTTGCTGGCCCGGGAATTCCGTGAGCTGAGTAGACAGACAGCTCACCTGGACACTCCAACGCGGTCCCTCCCCAGTAGAAGCGCTTGGACCAGGCGCTCCAGCTGTGGGTCTCTTTAGCAAGAACAGCCTATGATTCATGAGTGAACACATAATTAGCCTCAAAGCCCTGGGCTTTGTTGGTTGGTGGGTTGGGACTTTTGGGGTTTAATACCATCATTCACATTCCCTAAACACGAGGTTCCCTGGGAGGAGATGGCTTCTGATTTCAATGCCACGGAGCAAAGCTTTTGGAAAGAGCCTGAGAGATGAATGTACTATTCTAGTCTTGATACTAAGCTCTTTTGGAAAGAGCCTGAGAGATGAATGTACTACTCTAGTCTTGATACTAAGCTTGAGTATAAGTTTAGGCAAATTCTCCAGGCCTCAGTTTCCCTTCCTGCGAAGACTTCCAAAGGCCCTTGGCAGCTCTCATATCTTCTGACCGGAGACAAAAGGGAGATTTGACCCGAAGCCCCATCATTCTCTTCATCCTCTCTTCCCTACAGGTCATGCCAAACTGCACAGTGCCACCTGTCCGAGCCTCACTTTCATACTCATCTTTCAGGCTCACCTTGTGCCAGGCAAGGCAATTTCACTAGTTAATCAGCGTGCATCCTCACAAAGTCGATAGCCATTTCATGGGATCCAGGAGCTGAGAGAGGCTTTATGGAGCCTCTGGTCCTGCCTCCTTTCAGTGCACATGGGGAAACAGAGGCCCAGAGAGGAGATCACCCTCCCAGGCCCGTGCCCCCTTCCCACCAAGGCCTCTCTAAACATGGTCTCATCTGCAGTGAGATGTTTCCCCTTCCAGCCAAGGGAGTTGCCAGGCTCAGAATTGAGGGGTTACCTTTCCCCAGCCCCATAACCAGTGCCAGCCTCGATCAAGCTGCTCATGGGTGTTCAGTTCTAAGGGTATGAAGGCACTGTCTGCCCAGGAGACTCAGTGCATCCAGACCTCCCTGCCTCACAAAACAAGGAGTAACCGCTCCCACCCCCAGATCAGTACATAAAAATTGCCTGGAAGTGCCTTGGGAAGCTTGCTTCATAGGGTTGGGAAACACCTCATAGAGTTGTAGCTATAAGGATTAAATGAGTTAATACACGTAAAGCCCTTAAATTCATTCTTGGCACAAAATGTGTACCCATCAAATGTTACTTATAATTATTGTTCATTCTGCTGTGGCATAAAATCAAAGTCTTGGGAGGCTCCACTCCCAGAGATCCTGATCTCTAGGTCTGGGAGCAGAGTGTCTGGACCCTGCACGTTAAACAAAGTCCCCAAATGACTGTGATGCAGGGGTCCACAGTCCGTACTCGGAATCATCACTCAAGGCCTAGACCTGTTGGGACCCATGCTCCTGACCAGCATCACTTACTGAGAACAGAGAAATTGAACCTAGGATAGGGAAGACTGAAGGTCAGGCCACGGGCCTGGTCAGCTCCCTTTGTCAATATCTCCTTCAGTGGTCCTTTCTGCATCCCCATCAGGAATTTGGAATTTGTGCTAAGTTGAATCCAGCAGTAGAAGCTGCTTCCAGAAGCAGAGCTTATAGACCAGGACATCAGATGTACGAGGGTTTGAGACTATCTGGTCATTTTGTAAATGAGAAAACTAAGGGCACAGAGAGGAAAGAACTTGCCCAAGGTCACACAGTCCGTTGAAGATTCCTGACACCCAGATCATGGCTCTACCTAATTATAGAACCTTATGAACTCCTGAACCTTGTCACTAGACTTCAGGTCCTTGTCAACCATGTGTCTGGCAGTGCCTGGAAGGAGGAAAGAAGAGACTTTGCTCCCTCCATCCTAAAATGATCTCAGGCCCATATGCAATCTACCCTCCAGCATTATGAGCCAAGGTCAAGTGCCTCTCCCAACTCTTCAGCTATGTAGTTTGAGAGATGTTCTTCCTTAAGGCTGCTCTGATGCTCATGTTTGCTCATTTCACCTGAGTGGCCAGAGGGAATGGAGGGAAGAAACAGAAGGGGTCACCAGAGGAGTTGATCTCAACACACAGCCAATTTAGGAATGCTCTACTTCAAACATAAAATATCCCAGATCCCCAAAGGAAGGCTGGCCACGCTCTCATCTGCCACCTTGTTTGATCATTGGCCCATCTCTCGTGACCCTTCAAAGCCAAAATATTGTTCATTTGTTTAAAAAACAAAATGAGTAAGAAAAAGCAAGTCCTTTCCAGCCCCAGGGTTAGGGAGGTAGAGCTTCCTGCAGAAGCCCGAGCAGGGCTGTAATTAGCTTGGCAAAAGCGGCAGGAGATACTGGCAAACTTGCCAGCAGACCAGGGAGAAGCTCCCACTCTGGGCTTTTATTAAAGAAGCCATGGGCCATAGCTCCTTCTCAGAATAACACCTAGGGGGCTTAAACTAGATAAAAATGGATCAGCCCCTCATCAAAGCCTTCGGAAGCGGTTTCTAAATCTGGTATCTCAGAAGCCAAGAGAGGAAATAAAACCAGAAGCTGCAGTCCATCTTTCGTGGTCAAGATTTAGGGAAGCAAATTGCCATGTGTAATCACAGCCTCAGAGTGTTTACTGGCAGAATCGAGTTGGGATAACTTCTCTCCCATCCCTTCTTATTTCTCTACATCTGGATCTATTCCCATCTGCACCCCCTCCCCAAACCCTCCATTTACTGAGCAAGGCCAGGTAGTGTCCCCTGGCCCTGGGAAGAACTTTCTGTGGGTTCTCTGACTTTTTGCCGGTCTGTTCGGAACACTTCCCACTGGCCCAACCTCTCTCACATGCTAGTCTCATCACCGCGGAGCCCTCCCCGCTGACTCAGGACCACAGGCAAATGGGACTGTCTAGCCCTGAATGTAACCCAGATGTTCAATCAATACAGAGTAAAAGAAATGACAACTGTTAGAGAATGTTTAAGTTATAGAGCCAGTGGCAACAATATATCATCTGAGAGCCAACTGAGATATGGTGCTATAATCCCAAATAATCATAAAGGAAAAGCCAGAGTGTGACAGATGGCTATCCAGCACCTTCGGTCTGAGTGATATGTCATTCGAGAGAGAGTTGCAGCCTGCCCTGAGGTGACACACATGGCGCTGGAGGTAGACTGGCTCTCTCACACTTTGGCACAAGTAGGAAGCTGAAGAAAAGTTTTCCACAGCTGGTTCCTTGGCCCCTCTCCTGCCTCTATGTCTGAGCAGAGACACTGGTAAAGGTACAATTTTAAAACAGTCACAATTTTAAGTGCACACCACCTTCATCACAGATCCATTCCCAGCCCTGACTCTCCCTGCTCAAAGCCAGTAGCCTCCACCATGCCCAGACACTCTGGCTGGCTAGAGGAGAAAGATGCCAGAATGGGGAATTCCTAACTGGAAATCTGAACCAGGCACCAGCACATCTGCTGAAGACACTTTTATAGCAACTATAAGTCTTTGAAAGGAAGAAGATCTCTGGCCTGGGAAAGCCCCATAAAGGAAGCTCTCGGTGGTCCCAGACAAACCCAGATGTAGAACAGGCTAACTGGTGGCCACCACAGTTAAGTGCAGGGCAGATTTTTTTGGTTCAAATAACCCGAATCTTAAAAAGAGAAACTCTTCCCTAGTGGAGCCAGTATCCAGAAAAAGGTAAACTCGATGGGTAACTGGTGTGATTATTTGGTCAACTTTCGGTGCATTTTGCACCTCTAAAACATCTCCTCAGCATCCCAGGTTGACATCATTGGAGGGAAGAGCAAGTGAAGGCTGGTCAGGAATCGGCAGAGGGTGGCGGTGGCCACAGGCGCGCTGGGCAGTAGTGGGACTGGTCATGCACCCCTACAGTGCAGACTGCATTTGATGGCATTCTGAGAGCATCCTCAAGCACCATGCCAGCCCTGCCCCTCCTGGAGTCTTCCCCCCGGGGAGCGGAGTCAACAGAAAAGGGGTGGCCGATAGGACAGCCAGATCCATCCAAGCACGTAGGAGGGAATGGGGAGAGATGGAGCCGGCCCTCCTACTTACCAGCAGCTCAGCTCCCGCTCTCCCGCCGTCGACCACAGGGAGCCAGAGAGGAGGACGTGGGACGGCTCAAGGCTGCAGCATGAGTACGGCTCGCCGGTCGCTCCCGGTATTTAAACGGTCTCCGCGTGAGTCACCAGAGGGGGCAGTGTCGGCGTGGTGGCGGGGAGGGGCGACAGCGCCACTGCAGCTCCCGGACGTGCAAGGACAGCAAGCACAACCAAGAGAGTCACTCACAACCTGCATTCTCAAGTGGAAGGGGTTTTCTCCTTTTTTTTTTTTTTTTTCTATTAAGGAATACGTTTTTGTCTTCTCTCTTTTCCTTCAATGTTTCTTTTGGACTCACTCGCTGCATTTTGGTCATTGCGGCTCTAGAAAAGAACTGTGGCTCTAGAAAAGGCATTCATTCTTCTCCTTTTCTTTTAAACTTTTTATTCTGAAGAAATTTCGAATCTCTTCAGGAAATTTGCAAGATTAATACAAGGAATACTTATTTGCTTAACCCAATTTACCTATTGTTAACATTTTAGAAAAAGCATTAATTTTAAATTCCAAGAAAAGATAAAGTTAACACCCGCCCACACACACACACACACACGCACACACAGCCTCCTTCCAAAAACCAATGTTTCGATTCCCTCCCGACATGGTCGGCTGTCCCCTCACTGCCCCCTCCCAGAGGTAAGTCCACTGGGCAGTCAAGGGGCATGTTTGAGAATGAGGGGCTCCCTATGCCCTTCGCCTCTGAATGCCTCACACCATTCACCTCAGTGAGGAACAAGAAACCATTTCTATTCATGGTATCACCAAGAGGGCTGAGGAAGAGGAGAAAGAAGACGTAGTTGGAGAGGTGGGGGAGGGGGGAGACTGCCATATACCCGCTTCTCCTCCAAGAAGGAGCCTCGAGTAGGTCTGAACTGTATTTGACCACGCCACCTGCCCTCTCCTGGCTCAGTTTACCTTCTCAGCCAGGTGGGGAGAGTGATATTTACACACAGTGCCTCATGGAATTCCAAGAGCCTTAATTAATGTTTGCACTGTGCTTTGAGATCTGTGATGAAAGGAAAACATAAAAGTGCATAGTGTTATTACTGAAATAGTCATTTGGGTGGCTTGCCATGGTCAAGCCCTACCGCCTGAATCATGCTACATTCCTCCTCACCATGGCACCATGATTCAGAGGCAGAAACAAAAAGTGGCCTGTCCACGAGCCCAGGTGACACGCACCCAAGAGGGGCAGACACTGCCTGGAGTGGGTCGCCGCACAGCTCTCAGCCCCATCAACCACCAGCCTCCCTTCCAAATAATATTCCAAAGGAAGAACTGCCTCCCTCTTACTATCCTGGTACCGTCACATCCCGAAATGGGGTCTTCAACTGCATTTCCACAGAACCTGCAAGAATAAGAACGTCTCCCTCTTTGCCTTCTTTCCTTTCTTTCAAATCCTAACATTCAACCACTCTGTGCCAGGCCGTGCACTGGATGCTGTGGACAACACAAGGATGAATCATAAAGAGCTGGCATTCAGTAGGAAGGGAGGAAAAAATGGACATTGATGAAGCACCTACTGTGAACCAGAGAGCCTGTCTTATTACATCTATATATTATTTCATCTACACCAAGTTTCTCAACCTCACTACAACTGACATTTGGAGCCAGAGAAGTCCTTATTGTGGGAAGCTGTCCTGTGTATTTTAAGATGCTTAGACCATCCCTGGCCTCTACCTACTAGATACCAGTGGCTTCCCATGGACATGGAATTGCATGTCCAAATTGTGACAACCAGAAATGTCTCTAGCGATTGCCAAATATCCCCTATCCCCGGGGGAATCAACACACACACACACACACACACACACACACACACACACACACACACACACACACACACTGAGTTGAGATTACTGATCTACTAAATAATCCTGTGAGTGGGAGTAATTGCCCCCGTTTTATAGATAGAAAAGCCAAGGCTCAGGGCAGTTAACTCATTTGCCTGAGGTCACATGCTAAGCGACAGAACCAGGATTTAATCCCTAGCCTGTGGATTGATTGTATGTTATTTGCATCACCGTTGGGTTGTGTGCTCGATGCACATAACTACCATAGATAGAAGTGAGGTTGTTCAGTTAAGGATCGTGAAATGATGCCAGAAGTGAGGTCATTGGGAGAACCTTCCTCAAGGTCAGGCTGACAAATGTGGGTGCACATGAAGGGATGGGGCTTGATTTTCATGTAGAAGATGACCTTAAGAGATGAGCAGGATCTGGAAATAGGGGGGCAGGGGGAGTGAGTTAAGAAAAACCATTGAGTCAGAGCAAGAAGGAGAGAGGGCTCTCTACCAGAGACTGAGTTTGGCTGGAGCCTAGGTGTGTGACAGGCCTCACCGTAAGGGCTGGGAGACCTCCCTAAGGAGTGCAATATCCCTCTGCAGGCACTAGAGAGCCAGTGAAGATTTTAGAGGAGGGTAGAGGCATAGTGAGAGCCGCACTGCAGAAAGTGTAGTGTGGCAGGGTTTCCAGGTTTCATGGAGGACTCTTGGGTGTCCTATATGCCACAGGGCATATAGTTTTCAAAACACTCCTTTCATCCTCCTTGGTCCTGGATAGGACATGGTCAGTAACCAAGGGCATGCAGGAAGGACCAGTTTCCCAGATTGGGAGGGGCTATAGGGTTTCAGCTACAGGACCTCTGAGTTTTAGCTCACTGAGACTCCCTCTTTCATGAGGAAGGATATTCTCTCCTACGAAGAAAGCAAAATGGTCTCAGTCAGCCCCCAGAAGTGAGATCTATTATTGGTGAAAGTAAAAGGCTGATTCATCACTCGCAGGCCCCATAAACTTCAGGGTTCACTTTCCAGCCCCCCTGGGAGAACCAGAAGGGCCTGAGAATTCTGATCTCTCCCATCCAGGAATGTTTCTATAGTCTAGTTAATAAGCATAGAATCCAGGGAATTGAAGGTCATGTGATTTAGCCTCCCCACTGGGGAGGAAATGCCTCCACAGCACCTTGAAGACATGGAGTTATGACCCTGCTAGGTTCTCTTCAGGGATAAGAAGGGCAGTACCACAGAATGAGGTCCCCCCAGCTAGATCGGCAGAATAAAAAAGACGGAGAACACCCAGAGTTGGCAAGGATGCAGGTGTTCTTAATTGATGAAAATATAAATTGCTAGAGTAGTGACTATCAAAATTCAAAATGTATAAACCCATTCACCAGGGTCAGTGCCAATACACAGACATGATCACGTGTGTGCACAAAGCTGTACGTTCAAGAATGCTCACTGCAGCATTGTTTGTAAAAATAAATTATTATAAACAGCATAAATGTCTGTCCATAAGACTGTGATTCCATGCATCGTGGCAAGCCAAACCCAATAGCCAATTTGAAAAAATAAGATGCTCTTTTATTTGCTGAAAAAGAAAAATATATCCAATGTATTAAGCAGATTACACACACACACACACACACACACACACACACACACACAAATAAATAATACAATTGTACTTATTGGTTTTAGTTATAAATATATAACTTCTCAGTTATATTTCAACATACGGAAAATATAGTAAAGAAAAGCAATGTCATTCTTTATTGATAATGATAACACAAAAGGCCAGAAAATGGTACAAAACATCAATTTTCCCACCCAATGGCCCTTCGGTGCCCAGAGAGTCAGCCTTGGATGGGCAGCCAGGGCTTTCCCTTCAATTCTCTCCTTCCCCAGGTCGACTGCTCTGCTCTCGCCTGCTGCTCCCCTCACAGTGGCCTGGCCGTCTTGGATGCAGAGAGGCCATAAAGCACCAGAGCTCCCAATGGGCAGATGTGGTTCCAGCTCATTCCCATGGCCCTGGCTGTTCTCTGAAGGAGGAATTGTAAGTTGTTCCGCGGAGCAGTGAATCTCAAATACCAACAGGTATCCCTGGTGCTCAAGTGGACAGCCTTGCAGAGCAGACTGAAGGAGTATGCCACCAAAGTCTCTGTCGAAAACCTTCCCCAACACAGATGAGGAAGAAAAAGAACCGTGCAGGTGAGAGAAAATTACATTCAGCTATATATCTACGTTTGTGTGTGTGCTTATCTGTACACATTACACATGTATGCATATATATATGCATGTGTATATGTACATAAGCATATATGCATGTATAGACACACATATGTGTAGATGTATAAACACATGTGTCTATATGCATACACATACATACACATACACGTATATCTTTGTCTATATATAGGAATGTTTAGAAAAAGATCTGAAAGGATACACTCAAAACTGCTACAGAAGTGGGGGTAGGGAACAGTGATGAACAAGAATTTTTTATAACTATGTGTTGTTTTATATTTCCTTTAAATAAAAATGCATTCCTAAACTGTGTCTAATTGACAACTAGAATGATTATTTCAAAAGACAAAAAAACAAAGTTTTTTTCAATGTCTTTTTTTTTTATTACACTAAAACTGCTTCCTTGGAACCTCCACCAATGGGTTCTCTTCCTCCCTTCAGGCCTGCTTCACCTGTGGGCCAGCCCCTCAGACGTCTGGGACCATGAACAGGCTCACCCCCATCATGCCTCCACTTCTCTTACACAGTCACACATGCCACACACAGTTTCTTCCCTCAGCCGTCCTGGTTGCTCACCGTGAAGATGAGCATCCACTTAGCAAACGGAGCATTCAGCGGGAGGCCTGGGCTAGGTGCCAGGACACAGAAGTGAATTCATTCTGAGGGGAACTCAAACCTGTGAACAGTCATATTCAAGAGTAAGGCATGTATGGGATGGGGACCACACAAGGGCATCACTGAGCCTGCCTGGACTGTGAGAGGAGGCCTTCTTTAACAGGGTGATCCTCGGACTAAGCCTGGTAAGATGAGCAGGCATTTGGGCAATCTGGGAAGAACAAATAGCACTTGCAGAGGCTCAAAGGCATAAAAAACCATAGCACATTCGGCATGTGGCAAGTAGTTCAAGGTAGCCAGAAAGCAGGGACTACATGAGAGCTTAGTAGAAGCACCATCCTGGGGAAAATGCAAGAGGCGATGTAGGAAGGGTCTCATCAACTGGGAC